CTGTTGTACTGAGTATATCTGTTATACTCACGGCCAATCTTTTTATAAGATTGAAAACAATTTCATACATTGAAATTGGTTGTTATCTTCCCATTCCCTTAATCTGAAAAGATTAAACAAGTGGATTTGAAAAGATCTACTTACAATTTCTTGAATTGACGGCTTACGCGGAGGATTTCATTCATTCTTGTGTATGATGTAATGATTCTCATTTCATCATAAGGGGGAGTATGAAATAATGAATGAAATGTCCAATTCCGATCATTATAAGGGGAATTTGATGTAAAGATCAAGGGGGAGTAACTTCAATGATGGCAAAAGACTCAAAAGGAGTGCGACTGGAGATAATTACAGAAAGATTATTCTTGTGCTAAAACGACTGAGAGTTTTTGAATGAGAAGATCATCGTTTCAAAAGTTTACCAACAGAGTTTTCTTATCAAAGAGAAAATTTGTGATTTGTTGTCTAAAGATTCTTTGAAGATCACATCTTGTACCTTGTTTTTGAAGATCGTTATTGTTTCTGATCTACATTGTCAAAAGAGAAGATCATCGTTTTTCTACATTCGAGGGGGAGAATGTTAGAAGATCTTTCTCAACAAACGATTGCCTAAAGATTTCAAGTTGAAGAATTCTTTTGAAGAAGACATAGAATGCTTAAAGCATCAAAGTTCAAACGAGACTCAAAACGCGCAAATTCTTTCAAGTCTGAATACAAAGGGGGAGAATGTTAGGACTGAAAATCAGTGTAAAATTGTATTCGTCTTGAAAGTTAATTTTGTTTATAATTGTATAAAAGTCATCGTGTTTGACTTTTATTAGATAGTTTGACTTTGACCTTGTTTAGTTGTTTGACCCTATATAAAGGGTGTTGTCTTTGTAATTTTGTAAGAAGAAGCCTTATTGTAAAAATCAGTATACGTATGAGAGTTTGACCATAGATTGATTGTTGACTTTCTCTCTCTCCTTCTTCTAAGTGTTCTTACAAGATAAACATTTTCTACCATTGATGTTTTTGAAGGATTCATGGAAGATTGATTAATTGGGACTTATACTATCACGTTACCTTACCGATGAACATGGCAAGGACCAAGAATCTTACCCGATAAGCGTGATAGTAAGGAGCGAGGGTATTATCCAGTAAGTAAGTGTGATGACTCTTACCCAGTTAGTGCTTACCGGGTAAATTGTTGCATACGATGCCGTCTTGATGGAGCAAAATATTACCCGCTAACGTAAGTGATAGTGTTGAATTTTATCAGTAAGCGTTTACCCTTTAAGTGTTGTTGGAGATATTACCATAGACACAACAAAATAGTGATACTGTTAATTGCATGGGGCCTATTGGGTCGCTCACAAAGTTCGATCTAAATGCAAGAAGGGCTTAATAAATTATTAACTAAAAGTGTTAATTAAATTACTAGAGGGACTAGTTGGATATTAGTCCGAAACTTACTTATGGTTAACTGAGATTGGGCCTTGACCCAACTTACTAGGGTTTAGTTGAGATTAATCCTTATTTAAAAGATGTTAATCCCTAAACCTAATAGGTATTCAATATATGGCCTCATTCCTCTCCTCTCTACAAGTCGGCGCACCACCACCCTCCCTAATAAGGTTTTTCTGATTTCTACACAACACACACAAGTGTGTGTTTGGCGATTTCAAAAAGAGAAAAGGAGGCGATTTCTTGTTAGCGTGATAGAACTTTGGGGTGTGCGCGTGATAGTGAGAATCATGTTACTAGGTTCTTTACATTCATCCAAAGGTCGATCTCTACTCTTTTTTATGGTTTCTTTTGTTACCCATATATTAGTTGTAACCAGATTCGTGGAGGGTTGTTGTTTTATTTGCTTTTGTTATCTCATGTTTTTTTATTATCGAAAAACCTTATAATCCAACAATGGTATCAGAGCCAAGGTTACAATATACAAGTACATGTGATCGATTTTTCTATAAAATTTGTTTTGGGATGTGTTTTCTACATTCAAGTGGGAAATTTCAATGTATGAAACACATATAAAGATTATAAAGGTATTTCTATTGGTATGAATGTTTCATTACAAAAAAAATTTTAACCTTAAATTTTTTTTATTTTGGTTATCTTAACCATAGATCTCGGTTTTTCTTAAGGTTGTTCTAAAGTTTTGAATGTTCCACTACAATAGTTCTTTATAAACCTTGAAAATTTCGATTTTTGGGTTTTTTTCTTTTAAAACCATGTGTTTCATTTTTGAGATCTAGGGTTTTAACCTTCTTACCGGTGACTATGTTGAAATCCATCAGGATACTCATTGCCATAGCAGCATTTCATGACTATGAAATATGGCAGATGGATGTAAAACTTGTTTTCCTTAATGGTAAGCTATATGAGAATATGTTTATGACACAACCTGAGGGTTTTGTACAATCTGAGCATCTTGATAGAGTGTGTAAGCTTCAGAAATCCATTTATGGACTTAAGCAAGCTTCTCACAGCTAAAACATCTGCTTCGATGAGAAAGTCAAGAATTTGGATTCATGAGAAGCAAAGATAAATCATGCGTATATGTCAGAACAAGTGGGATTAATGTAGTCTTCCTTGTGTTGTATATAGATGACATACTCCTCATGGGAAATGATATCCCTACTTTACAAAGCGTGAAAGCTTGGCCAGGGAAATATTTTTTATGAAGGACATGGGAGATGCAACATACATACTAGTCATCAAGATCTAAAGAGATAGATCTAGGCGACTTATTAGTCTAATCCAAAGTACCTACATAGACAAAGTGTTGAAGAAGTTCAACATGCAAGACTCCAAGAAGGGGTTCATTCATGTGCAGCATGGTTTGGCACTAAGCAAGGCTCATTGTCCTAGTTGTAGTTCAGAGCTAGAAAGGATGAGTCGAATCCCTTATGCCTCAACTATAGGGTCGATCATGTATATCATGATATGTACTAGACCTATGGATGATTCCGAAGCAAAAGCCATAGCTGATACCATGCCAAGCCTCAAGTGGATCCTACTTTGTTCATGTAAATTTGGGAAGTCGGGTCTATTTGAATCCTTGCCAAATGCAAGTCACTAACTCATCTTGACATTTATTAGAGTTGGGACGTCGATTTGGATGATGGTGAATTTAAGGGCATCATTGAAAAGCTAAGATTGTTTCTTTACTAGTCTGATATGTTCATACAAAACAAAAGTTGCATTATGACCCTCACTGTAAGGTGTAAGAAATCATGGGTTATATTCTTGAAATGCCTACTTTTAGTCTTTATGGGACTTAATTATTTGAGAACTCCTATTTTTATGAGATCCATACCACTCATTTGATATAACTGATTTTATAATTAATTAAAAATAAAAGGGTAAGTTCGTAATTTGATTTATTAAGATGAACAAACATTCACACTTATCTTGGAATTAGATCTCTTGTGGTATTATGGCAGAAAAGCAAGTGTAACCAAAGAGATGGAATGTTTATGTTATTAGAACTATGGTGTGTTGACTTTGGTAAGCTTAATTAATATTTTTACCTTTGTCATTGTTGACTTGTTGTTGATTGTTTCCGAGTTCTTTTAATTACTTTTTCTTAGTTTTTTTTTATTTTACCAAACACGAGGATTAAATACATAGAATAGTAACGTATAATTTCTATTTTTGGTCGTAGGATCGCCTTTCTTCTTATTTCTTACATGAATATTGACCTCAAATGAATTTTTTTTATTTGTCATTTTAGTGTTTGTATTGTGCAACATAAGGATAATATGCCATTTATTGATCCTTACCAACCAACACAATTAAACCAAACCCCCGTCATCAACCACGACCAATTAACCAATCCATCATCAACAAAAGTAAATCCAAAAACTCTAATGGGCCGTTTAACAAACGCTTATCGGGATAAGTTCTTAACAAGTCATATTACCTTACCGAATGAACATGGAAGAACCAATAATCTTACCCGGTAAGAGCGAAAGTAAGGAGCGAGAGTCTTACCCTGTAAGTAAGGGCGACGACTCTTACCACGGTTAGCGCTTACATGGTAAATTGTTGCATATGATTCTGTTTTAGTGGACTAAAATCTTATCCAGTAAGTAGTGAAAGTGTCGAATTTTGCCGGTAAACACTTACTCGGGTAAGCGTTTGATAAACGGACCCTAAATCAAACCCTAAACAATGAATCTTGAGAAGTTATTTGAGGCATCAGTAGAAAATTGATGAAGAGTCGTTTTAACATATTTGACTTGGTTTCATTAATTACTAGTTAAAGAATAAGCACACATGTGGGCAGCGAGTAACCCGTGTTTTTATTATTATAGAAAACATTATTCTCTTTTTTTATGACTCTTCTTTCTTCCCCCCTCTCTTGAATTATTATAAAGGGATGGGAACTCTTAAGTTTGATTTTGCGTAACCGTAAACATGCCTAGAGGTTTTTACCTATGTTATGCAAACTAGTTAGTTGATAAACTAAACATGTTTAATAAAACATAGGTGATAGAGCTAGATGACAATTTCCAGTGACCTAAAGCGACATGTTGAATTATATGGAAAAATATAAGCGACAATTGGATTTCTTTTTTCTTTTCTTTTTTTGTAAATGAGTCATTTGAACTTATTAAAACATTGATTCAAGTAACTTTTAGAAAATCTAGTTAATCAAATAGGGATTTTTTTTGATAAAACTCAAAGAAAAACAAGCTTATGGTTCCCAAACATGGTCATAGTCCATTAAGGAGCTTTTCTTGCATGCTTTGATTCCGAATTTGAAGAGAATGAGGAGTGTTAGATACTTTGAGATACAAGTCACATGATTTCACTGTTTGTCGTTCTCTGGTCCATTCTTTAGGTGAGGAAACCTTCTCTTTGAAAATGAATGGAAATAGTTCGTAACTAAAAGAAATGCATAATATGATTTTTTTTTACCAGTTGAATACACTCAACTACATACATATATACATATATATATATATATAAGACAAAAGTTGCAAGATTCATATACAAGTATATCCCTATGCATCTGACCATGAGATATCTAAATCTCCCCAATTGTCTTCTGATACACCCAATGCTTTCCAAACAGCTTTAGAGGCATCTACAATGTCGTTAGGGCATGGAGGTTGGTAGTCATGCTCTTCATCACAACCCATTGTGGAATCACACTCGTCTACAACCATGGCTTTTACACTTCGTCCGTTACCATTGATTTTGATGAAATTATGACACCTAGCCCCTCCCTTATACCAACCTGTTGACAGTGCCACAACGGGTGTGTCGTCAGAATGGTATTTGTGGTCACACTCTGATGGGCCACCTCCATCACCTCCCTTTTGGAAACTGTTTATTGTAAGTGTTGCTTTTGTGTCACTTGTCACGGGAGGCGAGCATGTATAAGTGGTATAAAACTTTCCTTGGACACAACAATCTGAGTCGTTTTCTGTGTTGCATTGTCCAGGAGGTGGTTTTCTTCCCCTTATACCACCACTTGGATTGCATGTTTGAGCATCAATCTTCAGTGGAAAGGCAACCAGGATAACAAGAAATGCAAGAATGCATGCATCAATGCATAAGTTCTTCATAATTGTTCCTTTTTCACACCAGATATGAATGTTTGATGGAAGGGTGGATGAAAAGGATTAGTATTTATAGAATGTTTGATTGTATAAAATGCCAATTTTGCAGTCATTATGTGATGACTTTGTTGCAACGTTTTTTTTTTTTTTTTTTTTTTTTAAAAAAGTTTGTCTTGTTATATAATTTAATAAATTTTAGGGTAAATTATGATTTCCGTCCTTGTAGTTTGTTACTTGTAATTATTTTCACCTCTAG